AGGAGGATGTATGCAAGAGCCAGAAACCAAGCAAAGGTAGAGTGTAGAAGGGCTGAAAAGGAGTTCCAGAGGCTGGTTGCAAGCGAGGTCAAGTCAAACCCAAAGGTGTTTTACCGCTATGCAAAGTCGAAATTAAAAACGCGAGTAGGAGTATCAGATCTGAGGCTTGAAGATGGTAGTTACGCAGATTTTGACCAGGATAAAGCTGAGGCATTAAACAGCTTCTTTTCCTCAGTGTTCACAAGAGAGGATGCGATTAACCTTCCTGCGTTTGAGGACAGAAGGTTCGACACAGCACTGACCCACATTGTGTTCACAGTAGAGGGAATTAGAAATAAACTGTCAAAGCTAAAGGTCCATAAGAGTCCCGGCCCTGATGTAGTGCATCCCAGAGTGCTAAGAGACTTGTGCAACGAGCTTGCCGAGCCCCTGAAGATCCTGTTCTGTAAATGAATGGATGAACAAAAGGTCCCCAGTGATTGGAAAGTGGCTTATGTGAGTCCTATCTTCAAGAAGGGCGATCGTCACTCCATGAACAACTATAGACAGGTGAGCCTGACTAGCATAATATGTAAAGTACTTGAGAGTATTATCAGAGATGCCGCGATGGAACATCCAATACGAAACAACCTTGTAAAGGATTGCCAACACGGTTTTATGCCGGGGCACTCCTGCTTAACACAATTGCTCAAGGTATTGGATATTTGGACCCATATTCTGGAACGGGGTGGTAATATCGACAATATATACCTAGATTTTGCCAAGGATTTCGTTAGTGTACCCCACAAAAGGCTGAAAATCAAAATGGAAGGGTACGGAATTCGGGGAAATGTCCAAGCGTGGATAGAAGACTTTCTACATGACCGCAAGCAGTGTGTGGTTATTAATGGCACGAAATCATCATCCGTACCTGTCACAAGCGGGGTATCACAGGGCAGTGTATTGGGCCCGCTGTTGTTTGTTTGTTTCATAAATGACATGCCTGACGTTGTACACTCCTCCATACAAATGTTTGCCGATGAAGCCAAGTTATTTCGGGAAATCAAGAACCAGGCAGACTGTGAAGAGCTGCAGAAGGACCTCTGTGGGCTCCAAGGATTGACGAAGAAATGGCTGCTCAAATTCAATGTCACGAAGTGTAAGAGGATGCACCTGGGGCGTACCAACGGTAAGGAGGCGTATCATATGTCCCAACGAGATAAAGAAACAGTACTTTTTGAGACAATGTGAGAGGGATCCAAGTGTGTATGTTGACAATGAGCTGAAGTTCTCGGGCCACTGCGAGAAGAAGGTAAATCAGGTAAATAAATTATTAGGTGTTATAAGAAGGTCGTTCAGATATCTAGACGGTCCGTCCCTCGTAACGATCTTCAAGAGTGAAGTGCTTCCCCATCTGGAGTACTGTCACCCTGTCTGGTCCCCGAGATATACTAGGGACTGTCAGTTGGTTGAAAATTTTCAAAGGAGGGCCACCAGACTGGTGCCTGCACTTCGGCACCTCAGCTACCCTGAGAGATTGCCCGAACTTGCCTAGCTTATACTACAGACGGGCAAGAGGCGACCTAATTGAGGTGTATAAGCATCTCAAGGGGCACTACTCAGTCGAGTGTCCTTACTTGAGGCTGGCGGACGCCCGCCCCACAAGGGGTCACAGCTCAAGATTGAAGAAGCCGCAGGTCCAGAAAACTGTGAGGGCAAACTTTTTCGGAGTGAGAGTTGTGAACTCTTGGAACAATCTACCAGAAAGTGTTGTGACGGCACCGAGTGAGCTCTTTCAAGACCAGACTTAACCAACACTGGAGCAGGTTCAAGTACATTCAAGAGCCCGGTGCATGCCCAGGACCTGCCAACAGTGCGTAACAGAGACGTGACCGATCGCTCTAGCTACTAACGAGCCGATCAATTGGTGAAGAGGATAAAAGAAAAAGAAAAGACCGTTTGAGCAAATGAATGGAATTATGAAAGATGAAACCTATTGTAACAGAGCTGATTGAAGTGGAAGATAGCGCGACGAAGATATTATGATAAGTTAACTCAAACAAGATTACGTCAAATAACTACGTTACTCAGTCGTGCCGTAACAAAAAACTGTCGAATTTATCCTGCGAAAGAAATAATTTCTAAATTCAGAGTTATTATATTTGAAAAATGATTCCCGTTTTCTCTTATTAGTCCTAAGTAATATGAAAGTGGGACCCGTAAAGTGCATTGTTACTAACCTTTATTTGGTAAACAAGAACCCAATGCAACAAACACTACTTGACCGCCTTTACTTCCACGACTGGGATGCCAACCAGAGACCTTTAGGACAGGAGGAGAGCGCTGTCTCCACTCGGTAGTAGCAAATAGACATAACATCACATATTTATTTCATCCAAGGGAAAATTGCACATTAAAATTAAGAGGATCCGTGTAGGTGGTGGGTTAAGGCGTGTAGGTGGTGGGTTAAGGCGTGTAGGTGGTGGGTTAAGTCGTATGGGTGGTGGATTAAGGCGCGTAAGTGGTGGGTTAAGGCACGTTAGTTGTGGGTTAAGGCGTGCCGGTGGTTGGTCAGAGTGTGTAGGTGGTGGGTTAAGGCGTGTAGTGGTGGGTTAGAACGTGTAGGTGATGGGTCAGAACGTGTAGGTGGTGGGTTAAGGCGTGCAGATGGTGGGTTAAGGCCTGTGGGTCAGGGCGTGTAGGTGGTGGGTTGAGGCCTGTAGGTGGTGGGTCAGAACGTGTAGGTGGTGGGTTTAGGCGTGTAGATGGTGGGTTAAGACCTGTAGGTGGTGGGTCAGAACGTGTAGGTGGTGGGTCCGAACTTATAGGTGGTTGGTCAGAGCGTGTAGGTGGTGGGTCATGGTGGGTAAGTGGTGGGAGAGGAAGATCTTGGTGGGTAGTTGTAGTGGGTCAGGGTGTGAAGGTGACTGGGGGGGGGGGTCTTTGTGGGTATCTGTGGTGGGTCAGGGCGTGTAGATTGTATTTTGTGGGCGGGGCCCGGGCGTGGAGCGCCGCCTCCAGTGATGGCGGGTAAGTCCTGGCAGCAAGAGGAGCAGCAGGGGTGATGCAGGCTCAGTGTACCTTCAGTAGTGTGTAGGGAGCGGATACTAGCGAGGCTGGTGGCGGCGGAGGTGAGTTGCTCGCCACGAACACTGCCTGCACTCTCCTTGCTGGTCAGGCTCCACATTACCACATATCAATAGCTTGTTAACTGGTCATTATATGTATTTAATTAACATATTTTAGCAATAATGGCAGTGAATAGAAACCATTAGAAAAATAACAAAAAATAAAGAATTGAACTAGAGAAAGCAGGGACAAAAAGACAACACAAGTTGAGATTTGTTTTATAACATGTCTACTTCAGTGACCCAGGTGACTGGTGGCGTAACAACAACGATTTGGCACGTAAGTTAACCTCTGGAATCACTTATGTTTACATTCTATATCTTTCATATGCTAATTTGCTTACTTAATCTTTCTCGTCGTTAGCATTTCCTGAATAAGTAGAATGAGTAATTGAATGTGACTATATATATATATATATATATATGTATATATACATATTCAATTCAATTCAATTTCAATTGTTTATTCCTTGATAGAGGAAGCGGGATCCTAGTGCTGTCACTAGGTACCCCTGTACAATGACACCAGAAGCATCTGGCAAGTGTGATAAGTATATACAGTATAAATATTATAAAGGGGCTTACTAAAGCCTAAGGAAGGAAGGATATTCCTTTAACACATAATCAATATTATTTACAAAATATCTGGCCAGTATGGGGAGGATCATCGTGTCTCCGTCAGGGGGTCGTGGAGTGGTGGTCCAGCAGGCGTCACGGAAGCGTTGTGTGTGGGGACATCTTAGGAGGTAATGAATAAGGGTGCTGCTGTCGGGTCTTCTGCATAATGCACAAGAGCGTTGCTCAGGGGATGCGGGGATACCAATCTCCCAAGCAAAGTCATACCCAATGATGATACGTATATATATATATATATATATATATATATATATATATATATATATATATATATATATATATATATATATATATATATATATATAGTCACGTGTGTGTGTGTGTGTGATTTGAGTATACTAGACGAAGGCGTCAGACCTAAGCATTCAAGATTTTAATTTTTTTACTAATGGCGCCTCTTGTTTAGTACAGGAAGAAACTGGAGTACTGTACCTTGAGAACACCTTCCACGTTATGACAGTGTCACGCTGGGCATCACCCTTCTGACACCCAACCAAAGACAATCACATGTGGATCACTGTGGCGAGAGGCAAGCATGTCACCGTATACCACTGTTGAAATTGCCCAATATATGTCTAACACTCGACGTTTGAACTTTGAATAGCCAATTTATAACCTCTTATAATCAATGTTCACACCAGTGTGAACTGTTGAACAAGGTTTAATACACATACCTGTAAGTTATTCGCCAGTTACACAACTACAGTGTATTTTATAGCACAACTGTTTACAGGATCCATCAAATAATTTTTATCGCTAAGGATATCCATATATACTCTCTTACTGCTTTCAAATTGAGTTTTGTCTAATTATTTTAATTATTGGTGAAATAGTGCAATTACTAACCTTAGCTGCTGAAGTGCAGTAATAACATTATAACAACTATATTGCCATATGTTGACCCCTACTCGGTATTGGTCAGATTTGGTATATTTTTATAATCAACCGTATTGTATAATAACCTGTGACTTAATGTACAGTATTATAGCAATCTATGACTTCCTTATGTAAAACATAATTTGTTTGTACTGTATTTACATTTTCTCTCCCCATATATTTGTTTCCCACACTAACTCATTCTAACACATCATCGGATATTTCCATTATTATCACTGTTTTCATCTCTAATACAGTACTAAATTTATTTCTTTTGGAGTTTTGTGCCTTGGATCCCAATTTTAATTCGCCACTTGGCAAGTTCGCTATCGCCTGTGCGCCTGCGCTCGTGCCTGCTGTCCAGTGTCATCGGAAGTTCGGAACAGTGTGGGTTGGGGGAGTGCTTTCCGGAGACACATTATTCGTGATGTGCCAACTAAACAATAGAACGTTTTGTCCATGATATTGTGAGAATTATATGAATGAGGGATATAAATATTAAATTTCGGAAATATGAATTCTCAGTGAGAAATACTGTACGAATATTGACAAAACAGATGTTTAAGGATGAAAATGATTCAACGCTTGTTTCCGGTCTCGGGCTGACTGTAGGGAGTAGGTATACATGAAGACTATCTCCTTGGCCACAAACCTGCATTCTTCTCATGCTCCCGACCCCACGAAGAGAAACTTCGGTGAGTGCAAATTCAGATGCCCTAATCTGTCTCTCTACTCAGAGTTTCTAATGTCATGGATTACTCTTTTTATCTTCCTCTGATTTCTTTCTTGGGATTCTATATCCATATTGAAGTACGGTGACCAAAACTGAACCGCGTAATCCAAGTGAGGTCGCACAAGCTCAAGATATAATGTTAGGATGACCTCGCTAGTCTTGTAACTCACACTACTTTGTGCGAACCCAAGTATTTTGTTAGCCGTGTTTCGGGCAAATACGCATTGTTGACTTGGTTTAAGATTCTTACTAATTACCCCCCAAAACTTTCTCACAGTCGGAGTTGCTCTATATCAACGTTGTTCATCTGATGTCTGGTTTCTTTATTTACATCTCCTCGGCTAAGTACGAGTACTTTACAAATTTTTAAAGTTAAATTTAATGAAAAAATTTTGTTTAGATCATGCTGTAGTTTTGCGAAGTACTCGTCAAATATAATTACACGCCCTATTGGAGTGTTTGTAAATTTGCAGTTTCATCCCCAACTACTGTTCAACCATAAATTTGCAGTTTCCCCCTGGTATTTGGTGTGATTCATTCGAATTATGGCCTTCATCCCCCCCGAACCTGACATAACCAACCAAAGAAACCTACCCAACCTTACCTAACTTCCTAGCCGTCCCCGCGATATTAAACAGAAATTACTTATTTTGATATTTGGTACCAATGAAAGCAACTTTGTTGAAGCATCATGGTGTAATTCAATTCAATTCAATTTCAATTGTGTATTCCTTGATAGAGGAAGCGGGATCCTAGTGCTGTCACTAGGGGTGGCCGGTAATAAAGTCACAGGAAAAAAGTCACAGAAAAAAAGTCACAATTTTGGCTAGGAAAAAAGTCACAGGAAAAAAAGTCAATTAATTTATGGTGGCCGGTAATAAAGGTTAGGTTAGGTTACTGAAACTGATTGACATATTAACCTTAAAAATGTGAGAATTCGACAGTTAACTTTTCTTTTTTTCCTGTGACTTTTTTTCCTGTGACTTTTTTTCCTGTGACTTTTTTTCCTGTGACTCTTTTTCTGTGACTTTTTTATCTGTGACTTTTTTACCTGGATTCGTCACTAGGTACCCCTGTACAATGACACCAGAAGCATCTGGCAAGTGTGACAAGTATATACAGTATAAATATTATAAAGGGGCTTACTAAAGCCTAAGGAAGGAAATGGTGTAATTGTACGTTATTTGTGGACCTGAGAGTACGTTCGTACCATTGGTTGTAAAGAAGGTCGACACTCGGTGAATGCAGAATGCACGAGCTGTCGGTTCTGAGTAAACACAAGAAATACACTGCCACGTTCGTAGAGCGATACGGTATATATAATTTGTAATAAAAGTTTCAAGTCCTGCTATAATACTCGAGGTAAGTTTATTTCTTGAGAAACAGGGCCGCCATTTGTAATGACGTCACCAGTTTCCCCGCAGACGACGTTCTCAAACTCAGTCTAAAGGATGGCTCTTCAGACTACAAATGCCCTGTTCAGATAAGTTTGAAGGTTTTTTTTTATGGTCTAAGATTCTATGTCATGGGCATTTCGTAAGTGAAGAAATGTGCCGTGGACATAAAAACTCATGTTCACATCAGCTCAACTGTCATGTATTTTTACCCGGTAGCCTTTCTCTTTTTTCCCCAGTGCATTTACAGAGTATATCAATACTAGATAGAGATACGAGTCAATTTAGAAGTAATGACTTTATTTTGAGACTGCATTGCATTATATCATCATTTATATTAATCAATGGGTAAAATTTTACTTTAACTACCATAAGTATTTGGATGTTTAGAGTCGAGATAGGCTATATTGGGTAAATTTTAACTTTTGGTCATCCCTGTACTTAGATGTGCAGACTATGTTATTTTTTTCTGGTGGTTTGCGATGTGTTATGAACGATATAGACCTTCATTTCTATATGAAATCACTAGTTTTGAGTTACTACCCCCCCTTACTGATGTATGTTAATCTGACCTTATAACTCACCATACCCTAACCTAACCTATGACCTGTATTTTCTAATGCGATCAAAAAAAATTTTGCGAGAGAAATCCCGTAGAGATAATGTCTTATTGTTTAAAGTACTTAAACCCAGTTAGAATATTAAGGTTCCCCAGATGACCAAAACCAAAATAATACCAATATTGTTTGGAATGTTTGTACGATGAAATTTGGATGGTAGGCAGCTAATGTCCATTGAATTAGTTAATGTGCTTAGTAATATTTATATATTCAATATAGTATTACTGTGTTGCAAAGTAAAGCACAATTAATTGTCTAATAATATTTATTTACAGGGCCAATCAGCCGAGAAGGTTGGACTACTACTTCCAGGGTTCACCAAGGCAAATGAAAGAAATTTACCAAAAGTAGATGTCTTTATGATTGTAGAGTATTATTGAGAACTCCGCCATCCAGCTATGAGGCGCGTTAAATTACATCTGTCATCTGATCATCTCAAGCCCATTCCCTGGCCTTGGTCGTCCCTAGTCCTTCCACAACATTAAATATAGACATCAGTGACGAAAACTTACATTTTCCAGACATGAAATAGAGAACAGTGATGAAAACTTCCATGTTGGAGTTATCGGTCTTTTGCATCATTAAGGTACCCAGCGAATAAATACACACGATGATACTTGAGCAGTAATTTATTTTAACCTAAAAATAAGGTATGGCTGTGTATATCAACATTGTACATTATATGACCACAATTCCTGTATTTCTGGTGGTAACAACACACACATACACCACAGCTGGCTGAAGTCGAGGTAAACCACATCATAATCGTGTCCGTCATCCACTGATTCGAAAACCGTTTTAAACGAATAATTGATTTGCCAGACATGAACGCCGACTTGTGAAGCCATGTTGGGAATCATTGATCATCTTGTGTTTCTCGAGGTGATTTCGAATTGAGTTTCAAGCTATTGCTTCTAGCAATTTGCCTACAAATGATTTTAAACTGATTGGGCGGTAATTAGAAGATAGTGAACGATCTCCCTTCTTAATTTTTTTTTACACTCGCTATCCTCCAGAATTCTAGTACTGCTCCCGTTTTTAATGTCATGTTAAACAATAGTAACCATGTAAAGCTGCTTAGTGTTGTGTAACCAAAGAATAATTGCATTGGTGCAAACTTCAGGAACTTTTTATTTAATACTAGCAGAATCGCCGTCCTCCAGGCGGCTCATCCGCTAGGCAACGGTAGGACGCCACCCTCCGGGAGGCTCCACATTGTCTCACTGTTCAGTCCCCAAAACTTCTTCTTCCATCAATAGTTCATTAACGGTGTATGTAAGTTCCACCATGTTTTTCACTACAACGGTACAGCAAAGTATATTTTTTTTTTGCATTAAACTGTTATTATTTTATTGTCTAATCATCACTACATATAACACCATCCATCATCACTACATATAACACCACCCATCATCACTACATATAACACCATCCATCATCACTACATATAACACCATCCATCATCACTACATATAACACCATCTATCATCACTACAGATCGGTAAAGTAGTTTCTCGTGCGGACACACACACAAACAGACAGGCTTCTTTGTTTTATATATATATAGATAAATTGCAACAATTCATCATTTACACATCTCCCTTCGTTTGAAATTTGAATTGGGAACTTTACGATGTATCATACTGCTACATTACATAATTTATTGTTCATAAAATAAACCAAACTAACCTACATAAACTTGTTTCACCTCAACATTATTATAAGGTAAAGATTCGTTTTAGAACCAACGTAGAAACTACTAAAACAAATTTCCCTGGTGTACTTTGTGTTGTGTCACATGAATCTGACCTTCAATTCCTTCGCAAATGAGCTGTTATGAAGATATGGCCATCTTCCCCCGCCGATTACCAACAATCATGGTTGTTCAAGGTGGGCAGGTCATTGAAGTAAAGGGAAAAAATGGGGTAAAATACGAAAAAGAACACCAAACAAACTTTTGAAAACCTTAGCTAACCTATACAAATCATAATACAAAAACACCTTATTCTTTTTTTTTCAGTATTTACCCGTAGTATGTGATAGTGGTGGTGTTTTCGGGGTTTAGTATGTAGTGATATTTGCGGTGTTCAGCTGAGGGGGGGGGGGGCATAAACTCGAAGGCAATTCTTAACCATTTTGCAAGTTAGGTAAGATTTTTTAATTTTCCCCACATTTTCCCTCTACTTCAAAGCCCTACTCACTTTGAACAACCAATATTATTGGTTATTTGGGGGAGGGGGTCATGTCAGTTAAAATACTCGAAAAAATACATTTGAGACGGAAACGTAATAGATTAAAGTATTGTTACGAACCCCCTTTCACTGCTTACTAGCGTCCACCGCTGGTTACCAGCGGCCAGGTCGTATATACAGAAGCAGTAGATATATCACAAGTGTCGTCGACACCAATGGCTGTCCCGCCAGTCTACGGTTATGTCACGACGATCGGTATCAGTGTACAGAAAACAACAGGCAGGTAGATTTCCACCAGGTCACAGAAACACACTTGTGAGCTGTAGTCTTCTTTAATAATCACTAAATCTTCACAAAACTGTGTACGGAATGTCTTTACCACCGGACTTCTCACTTCAAATATAAACAGTCAGCACACTACCAGTGCACAATTCCTTAGTCTTTTCACTTAATATCGCTCACAACAATTCCACAATACTTGAACACCAATTATTTTCAGCTGTCACTAAGCTTGTACTTCACACTCTGAGCAGAAACGGGCGACTCCTTCACCAGCCATCTCGCTGATGTTTACCTATCTTTCTTCAGACGCCTAGAGCATTCCAGCGACATCCAGGCGTTGCAGGTCGGAACGAGATGCACCTGGAGAGTGCTAGAATGATCTAGGCTTACAATACCTTAGTAAATCATAAAAAAAAATGATGTAATACTTTCTAGAAAATTCTTACATAGGTAATCATCAATATATACTGTACA